CCAGTAGGGGGTGTGCAAGAGGCAGCTGATCAGTGTTTCTCTCTCATGGATGTTTCTAACTCTCTATTCCCCTCCCTTCCTCTCTGTAAAAAAAAAATCAATAAAATATATTTTTTTTAAAAAAAAAGAAACATCGATGAGAGGGAAACATTGGTCAGCTGCCTCCTGCACACCCCCTACTGGGGATGTGCCCACAACCAAGGTACATGCCCTTGACCGGAATCGAACCTGGGACCCTTTAGTCTGCAGGCCAACGCTCTATCCACTGAGCCAAACTGGTTAGGGCGAAGTTTCTGCCTCTTGTTCCATTCACTAAAGTTATATAGCCAGGATCAAGGTTTGTGGGAGGGCAGTAGTCAAGAACACACTGAGACCAATCCACCAGTATTCCCTCTGGTTGCAAATAGTCCTGACCTGCCTAAATGCAAAATATATGTGCTCTCCCAGAACCTCCTAAATTTTCATTAAAATTTAGCATCATGGCCAAAGACCACAATCTTGTGATCTATAATCATTTTTAAAGGCAATTTCTATGATGTCACTTCCCATAAAACATACACACGCCCTGCACAGTATAATAGCAAGACAGGGATAGGTGCCAGACAGGGTCTCCTCTACAAAAAGACAAAAGAAAACAGGCACATAGCAGTCAATGATCCATACATTTACTGGTATGTCTTCTTTCCCTCCTTTAATTATATTATATTTAAATTCTATTACTTTTTTTCAATATAAGTATGAATGAAAAAGCAAATACCAGGATGTTGGAAGATCCCAGAATATAATGCAGACTGGGACATATGGAACTGATTGTATTACAAATGTATCAGCATCATAAAGGCATAAGGCACCCCTTGTTTCTGTCCACCCCCCAACAACAAAAAAATTTGGCTTCCACCCATAAACAAAAGTGGGAATTGTGAGATTCATCATCAAATGCTAAAGGGACCCAGAGGATGTTTGCCCACCTCTTCATTGGGCAATAGGCACACAGATCTTCATCCCAGCTGTGGAACCAGCTGTGGAACCTGCAGTAGCGCATGAACTGGTTCCAGGCCCTCTCAGCTGTGGTCTTGGAGCAAGCAGAGAACACTGACATGGGCAGTTACCCACAAACAAGGGAGATTCTGTGGAATTTTCCAGAGAAGTTCGACAAAAAATAAATAAGTAAATAAATAAATAAATAAATAAATAAATAAGAGTTTGGACACAACTTGACTTTGCCCGCATCCCACCTCCCCCATGGTGGCATAGCTAGGGCCAAGTGAGACTTTCTCATCCCATGATTTCTCCCCACTAGGGGAAAGGGAGAGCATGTGAATGATCTCTAGGCTTCTCCAGTTGCCAAAGAGACTCATTTCTCTTTTGTAGCATCCAGAGTGCTAAATTGTGGGGTGAGAGGAAATCAGGAGGACGGCAGATAAGATTCTCAGCATTAAAAGAGATGTATTGTGGATTCCATCAGGAAGCTCACTCATGAGCTTCTGAGAAAGTCTTACCTGCAGATCCCCCCAATTGGCCCATGGGCACCCTCAGTGACAGGTGTGCCTTACCTATACCACCCCCCATTCTACAGCCAGCTCTATGTGCATGCTCTTGAGAACAGTGGTGAGAGCAAGCTTCAGTGGACAGCTAGGGAGCACTTGCAGACCAGGGTGTGTAGGCCAGAGAGAAACCACAAACTTGAGTTGTAGTGCCACCATTGGGAAAACAAGAGGGAGGCTGTCAGCAGCTTCAAGTTAGTGAAAACATACAATCTTAAGAATTCTGCCACAAGAAGGGAGTAGGTAGCATGGAGCAGGTGTATCCATTCAAGGTCTGAGAAAGCCTCAAATCTCTAGCAGGGCTCATAGGAGGTATTTATCTCCTTAAAACAGTTATAAAGACTAGAGGAGGAGAGTGCTACTTCAAATGTGAAGATAGCAACACAAAACTCCAAGAAACATAAAAAATCCAGGAAACATGACACTACCAAAGGATAACACTAATCTTCCTATAACCAAACTGAAAGACATGGGAGATCCACAATTTACCCAATAAATTATTCAAAATAGCTGTTTTATTTTATCTATTAATAATAATTAGAATATGCTATCAACATAGAAAGTATTATTATATTATCTATTTTCTATATTATATATAATGGAATACTATTAAACTATTAAAAAAAGAAAAAAATGACTTTTTCCATCTGACATATTTCACTTAGCATAATATTCTCAAGATCCATCCAAGTTGTTACAAATGGCAGTATTCTATCTTTTCTTATCGCTGAGTAATATTCCATTGTATACATCTTTATCCAGTCATCTATTAAAAGACATTTTGATTGTTTCCATGTCTTGGTTATTGTGAATAACAGATGAACTTTGAAGACATTACACTAAGTGAAATAAGTCACACATAGAAGGACAAATACTATATGATCTCACTTATACGTAACATCTAAAAATGCTGAATGCATAGAAACAGAGAGTAGAGTGGTTATTGCCAGGGATTGTGGGGTGAAGGAAATGGGGAGATTTCGGTTAAAGGGTACAAACTTCCAGTAAGAAGATGAATAAGTTCTGGGAACCTAATGCTCGGCATAGTGATTATAGTTAATGATACAGTATATTATACTTGAAAGTTGCTAGGAGAATTAAATGTTTTCACTACAAAAATATATGGTAATTATGTGATGTGATGGAGATGTTAGCTAATGATATGGTGGTAATCATTTTGCAATATGTAAATGTATCATATCAACACATTGTTACACCTTAAACATACACAATGTAATATGTCACATATATCTTATGAAAAGTGGGAAGGAAAACAAAGAATAAATGTATGGCATATCTTTACCAATAGGAATGGAAAAAAATGAGTAGCTCAATATCCACTGGGTTTTGAGTGGATATTGCTAGGCTAAAGACACAAAGAACTGTACATAACTCTTGTGCTCTAGTTGATCAATTTGTTGCTCATAGAGGTACAGATTATCAATTTTTAAAATTTTATTAAATTTACTGGGATTACACTGTTAATTAAATCATATGTTTCAAGTGTACAATTCTATAATACTTTATCTATATACTGCATTGTTTGTTCACCACCCAAAGTTAAATCTCCTTCTGTCACCATGTATTTGACCCCTTTACTCTTTTCTACCTCCCTCCCAACCCCCTTCCCCTCTGTAACCACCATACTGTCGTCTGAATCTATGAGTTTTTGTCTTATTTTATCTTTTGTTGCTTTCAGCTTTATATCCCACATATGAATGAAATAATTTGGTTCTTGACTTTTTCCACCTGACTTATTTTGCTTAGCAATAATATTCTCAAGATCCATCCATGTTCCTATGTTCATAGCAGCACAATTCACCATAGCTAAGATTTGGAAACAGCCTAAGTGCCCATCAGTAGATGAGTGGATTAGAAAACTGTGGTACATCTACACGATGGAATACTATGCTGCTGTAAAAAAGAAGGAACTCTTACCATTTGCAACAGCATGGATGGAACTGGAGAGCATTATGCTAAGCAAAATAAGCCATTCAGAGAAGGATAAATACCACATGATCTCACCCATTTGCGGAATATAGTGAACAACATAAACTGATGAACAAGGACAGATCCAGAGACAGAGAGGCATCGACTGGACCGTTGGGCCTCGGAGGGAAGGTAGGGGAGGGTGGGGGTAAGGGGGAGAGATCAACCAAAGGACTTATATGCGAACATATAGGCCTAACCAATGGACACGGACAACAGGGGGGTGAGGGCATGAATGGAGGGTACAGGGGGTAACGTGGGGATAAGGACACATATGTAATAACTTAATCAATAAAAAATTTAAAATAAATAAATAAAATTCCCGATCTTAATGATTTGGTAATGGACTTGCAGGTTTTTCTGGTAACATACAAACACACATATAGGTAATTAAAAATAGGATCACACAAACTTGTGCTTTTAATTTAAACTTCATCATGGAAAATTCATGTCTACCTTAAGATAACATGACTCCTTTTTACAACTGCATAAGTATTTCATTATGTATGTACAATAATGTCTTTTACTCAGTTGTCTATTGATAGGTGTTGCAGTAATTCCAAATTTTTATGATGACAATGTTGTCATAAATTTACTAGTACTCATATATTTTCATTTTTTACACTGTTTCTTGAATTCCTATAAAATAAGTTCAAAGTGGAATTGTGTCGAAAAGAATGAACATTTTAATTTGTATTGATGCTCTAAATTATTCTCTAATAAGCTTGTCCCAATAAAATGTTTCCCTAAAAAAAAAAAAAAAGAAAGAAAGAAAAACCCATCCATGTTGTCACAAATGGCAGTATTCCATCTTTTCTTATGGCTGAGTAGTATTTCAATGTATACTTCTTTATCCTGTCATCTATTGAAGGACATTTCAGTTGTTTCCATGTCCTGGCTACTGTGAATAATGCTGCAATGAATGTAAGGGTACATATATTTTTTTAAAATCTTTATTGTTGAGAATATTACAAATGTCCGCTTTTTTCTCCCAAGTGCCACTTTCCACTGGCTTCCTGCCCTGCCCCAGGCCTTCACCACCCTATTGTCTGTGTCTATAGCTAATTCATAGATGCATGTAAGATCTTTGGTTAATTTCTCTCCTCTACCCCTACCCCCTTCCCTTGAGATTCATCAGTCTGTTCCATGTTTCCATGCCTTTGGTTTTATTTTATTCATCAGTTTATTTTGTTCACTAGGTTCCTTGTTTGTTTATTTTTAGATTCAATTGTTGATAAATATGTATTTATTGCCATTTTATTGTTCATACATATATCTTTATGAATAAATGTTTTAGAATTTTAGGGGTAGATACCCAGAAGAGGGGTTACTGGGTCATATGGTAATTCTATTCTTAATTTTTGGATAAACTTCCATATGGTTTTTCATAGTGACTGTACCAATTTACATTTCCACAATCTCAAATACTTATTACTTGTCTTGTGTGAGGTGATATATCATTGTAGCTTTGATTGACATGTCCCTAATAGCTATTGAAGTTGAGCATCTTTCCATATATCTTTTGGCCATTTATGTCTTCTTGGGGAAAGTGTCTGTTCAGGCCCTCTGCCCATTTCTAAAATTGTATTTCTAAAATACAATTGTATTGTATTGTTTGGGGATTTTTTTTAATTCTTCATATATTTCAGGTATTAACCCCTTTTCAGAGCTGTTATTTACCAATATTTTCTACCATTTGGTTGGTTTTATTTTTGTTGATGCTTTATTTTTCTGTGCAGAAACTTTTTAGTTTTATATAATTTCATTCATTTATTTTTGTCTTTTCTTCCCTTACCTTTAGGGTCAAATTCATAAAATATTCTCTAAGACCAAGGTGCATAAGTTTGGTACCTATATATTTTATTGTTTCAGGTCTTATATTTAGGTTTTTGATCCATTTTCAGTTCATTTTTATGTTTCACTCTTTTGCATATTTCTTTCCAATTTTTTCAGCGCCAGTTATTGAAAAGGCTTTCTTTTCTCTATTGTATTTTTTTTACTCCTCTGTGGAAAATTATTTGCCCATATACATTAAGGTTTATTTCTGGGCTCTCAATTCTTCTATTGGTCTATGTGTCTATTTTTCTACCAATACCATGCTGTTTTGATTATTATAATTTTCTTGTATAATTTGAAGTCAAAGGAGTGTGATACCTCTTGACCTTGTAATTTTTCTCAGAATTACTGTGGCTATACAGGGTCTTTTGTGGTTCCATATAAATATGATGATATTTTGTTCTGGTTCTTTTAAAAATGCCATTGGGATTTTGATGGGGGTTGCATTAAATCTGTATATTGCTTTGGGTAATATGTGCATATTAGCTATGTTGATTCTTTTAATCCATAAAAATAAAATTCTTTCCATTTCTTTGTGTCTTAAATTTTATTTTAATGATGTTTTATAACTTATTTGTTTTGTTTTTTTAGAGAGAGGAAGAGGAGAGAGAGAGAGAGAGAGAGAGAGAGAGAGAGAGAATTTGCCTCCCACACACATGGCCCAACCAGGGATCAAACCCACCACCTTTTGGTGTATGGGATGATGCTCCAACCAATTGAGCTACACAAGTTAGAGTTCTTGTAGTTTTCAGAGTACAGATCCTTCACATGCTTTGTCAAGTTTATCCCTCGCTGTTTTATCCTTTTTGTTGCAATTTCAAAAGGAATTGTGTGGGTTTTTTTCATTTCTTCTTATGAAATGTCATTGTTAGTATGCTTTTTATTTCTTTCTCTTGCCTGATTGTTCTGGCTAGGACTTGCAGTACTATGTTGAATAACAGTTGTAATTGGGCATCCCTGTCTTGTTCTTGATTTTAGAGAAAAAGTTCAGTTATTCAGCATTGAGTATGATATTGTCAGAGAGTTTGTCAATATAGCCTTTATTATGTTTAGGTCATTTTCTTCTATACCAATTTTATTGAGTGTTTTAATCATAAATGTATGTTGTATTTTGTCAAATACTTTATCTGCATTTATTAATATGATAATATTTTTATCCTTTATTTTGTTAATGGTGGTGTATTACATTGGTTGATTTCTGTATGTTGAACATCCTGACTTTCCTGGATTGAACCCCATGATATATTATTTTTAGTGTAGTATTCAATTTGCTAGTATTTTTAGGATTTTGCATCTGTATTCATCAGAGATGTTGGTCTGTAGTTTTCTTTTTTTGTGTTGTTCTTGCTGGGGTTTGGTACCAGGATTATGTTGATTTCATAAAATGAGTTAGAAAGTATTGCCTCTGCTTCAGTTTTTAGAATACTTTGAGAAAGGTAGGCATTAAATCTTCTTAGAATGTTTGGTAGAATTCTCCAGTGAAGCCATCTGGTCATGGACTTTTACTTATGGGAAGGTTTTTTATTGGTGTTTTAATTTCCTCACTGTTGTTCAGTCTAATTAGATTTTCCAGTCTAGGAAGTTTACATATTTCTAAGAACTTGTTCATTTCTTCTAGGTTATTGAATTTGATGGCATATAGTGTTCCATAGATTCTTGGACACATTAGTCCAAATAAACATAATTGAATGGTTCTTTATATTTCAGTGGTGTTCATTGTAATTTCTCTTTCATTTCTGATTTTGTTTATTTGAGATTTTTCTCTTTTTTCTTTAGTAAGTTTACTCAAAGGTTTATAAATTTTACTAATCTTTTTAATGAACCAGCTCTTTGATGAACTAGTTTTTATATAGTCTTTTTGTTCCCTATGCTGTTTAATTCTGCTATATTTTTATTATTTCCTTCCTTCTACTGACTTTAGAGTATATATTTTTTCTTTTTCTAGTTCTTTATGGTGAAATTTGGGGTTATTTGAAATTCTTTTTCTTTTTTAAGACATGCCTATAATGATATAAACTTCCATTTTATTAGCACTCTTGCTATATATCAAAAAAATTGACATGTCATATTGTCATTCTAGTTTGTCTCTATCTTTTTTTAAAATTTTTTTATTGATTAAGTTATTACATATGTGTCCTTATCCCCATATTACCCCTCATTCCCCCCACTCATGCCCTCAATACAAGTCCTTTGGTTGATCTCTTACCCCCTCACCCCCCAGCCTTCCCTCATAGGTTGTACAGTCTGTTCGATGCTTCTATGACTCTAGTTCTATTTTTGTTCATCAGTTTATGTTGTTCATTATATTCCATAAATGAATGAGATCATGTGATATTTATCTTTCTCTGACTGGCTTATTTCACTTAGCATAATGCTCTCCAATTCCATCCATGCTGTTGCAAATGGTAAGACCTCCTTCTTTTTACCACTGCAGTAGTATTCCACTGTGTAGATGTACCACAGTTTTCTAATCCACACAACTATTGATGGGCACTTAGGCTGTTTCCAAATCTTAGTTATGGTAAATTGTGCTGCTATGAACATAGGGGTGCATATATCCTTTCTAATTGGTGTTTCTAGTTTCTTTGGATATATTCCTAGAAGTGGGATCACTGGGTCAAATGGGAGTTCCATTTTTAGTTTTTTGAGGAAACTCCATACTGTTCTCCACGGGTGGCTTTTTCTCCACATCCTCACCAGCACTTGTCCTTTGTTGATTTGTTGATGATAGTCATTCTGACTGGTGTGAGATGGTACCACATGATTTGCATCTGTCAGATGATTAATGACTTTGAACATGTTTTCATATGTCTTTGGCCTTTCTTCTGTCTTCTTTCAAAAAGTATCTATTGATGTCCTTTGCTCATTTTTTTATTGGGTTGTTTATCTTCCTTTTGTTAAATTGTATGAGTTCCCTGTAAATGTTGGAGATTAAACCCTTATCAGTGATAACATTGGCAAATATGTTCTCCCATGCAGTGGGCGTGCTTGTTGTTTTGTTAATGGTTTCCTTTGCTGTGCAAAAGCTTTTTATTTTGATGTAGTCCCATCTGTTTATTTTCTCTTTAGTTTCCATTGCCCTAGGAGCAGTATCAGTGAAGAAATTGCTTCGGCATATGTCTGAGATTTTGCTGCCTGTGGATTCCTCTGGTATTTTTATGGTTTTCCGTCTTATGTTTAAGTCCTTTATCCATTTTGAGTTTATTTTTGTGTATGGTGTAAGTTGGTGGTCTAGTTTCATTTTTTCTTGCATTTTTCTGTCCAATTTTCCCAACACCATTTATTAAAGAGGCTGTCTTGACTCCACTGTATGTTCTTGCCTGCTTTGTCGAATATTAATTGAGCATAGTGGTTCGGATCGATTTCTGGGTTCTCTATTCTATTCCATTGATCTATATGTGTGCTCTTGTGCCAGTACCAGGCAGTTTTGAGAACAGTGGCTTTGTAATACAGCTTGATATCTGGTATTGAGATCCCACCTACTTTGTTCTTCTTTCTCAGGATTGCTGCCGCTATTCGAGGTCTTTTTTATTCCAGATGAATTTTTGGAAAGTTTGTTGTAGGTCTGTGAAATATCCCGTTGGTATTTTAATGGGGATTGCATTGAATCTATAGATTGCTTTGGGTAGTACGGACATCTTGATGATGTTGATTCTACCAATCCATGAACACAGTATGTTCTTCCATCTGTTTATGTCTTCCTCTATCTCCTTTTTCACTGTCCCGTAGTTTTATGTGCATAGGTCTTTTGCCTCCTTTGTCAAGTTTATTCCTAGGTATTTTAATTTTTTTGGTGCGATGGGATTGCTTTTTTAGTCTCTGTTTCTGTAAGTTCAGTATTGGTGTATAGAAATACCATAGATTTCTTGGCGTTAATTTTGTATCCTGCTATAATGCTGAAGTCTAATAGTTTTTTGATGGAGTCTTTATGGTTTTTTATGTACAATATCAGGTCATCTGCAAATAAGGACAGTTTTACTTCTTTTCCAATTTGGATGCCTTTTATTTCTTCTTATTGTCTAGCACTTCCACTACTATGTCGAACAAGAGTGGTGAGAGTGGGCATTCCTGTCTTGCTCCTGTGCTTTTTCTGCATCAATTGATATGACTATGTGGTTTTTCTCTCAATTTGTTTATGTGCTGTATCACGTCTATTGATTTGTGGATATTGTACCATGCTTGCATCCCTGGGATAAATCCTACTTAGTCATGGTGTATGATCTTTCTGTTTTACTGCTGGATCTGATTTGCTAGGATTTTGTTGAGGATTTTGGCATCTATGTTCATGAGGGATATTGGCCTGTAATTATTTTTAATTGTGTTGTTTTTATCTGGTTTTGGTATTAGGGTGATGCTGGCTTCCTAGAATGAGCTTGGAAGTGTTCCTTTCTCTTGAATTTTTTGTAGTAGTCTGAGGAGGATAGGTTTTAGTTCTTCCTTGAATGTTTGGTAAAACTCCCTGTGAAACCATCTGGCCCTGGGTTTTTGTTTGCTGAAAGCTTTTTGATGACTGCTTCAATTTTTTCCATAGTTATTGGCCTATTGAGATTTTTAGATTCTTTTTGATTGAGTATTGGAAGGTTGTAATTTTCTAGGAATATGTCTATTTCCTTCAGGTTGTCTAGTTTGTTGGAGTAGAGTTGTTCATAGTATTTTTTAAAAATGCTATGTATTTCTTTGGGGTACGTTGTCACCTCTATCATTTCTGATTTTGTTTATTTGGGTTCTCTCTCTTTGGCTAGAGCTTCATCAATCTTGTTTATCCTTTCAAAGAACCAGCTCTTTGTTTCATTGATCTTTTGTATCATTTTTTTTTATCTCTATATCATTTATTTCTGCTCTGATCTTTATTATCTCCTTCCTTCTGCTCACTTTGGGCTTTTCTTGTTGCTCTCTTTCTAATTCTTTGAGTTGTAGAGTTAGATGATTTACTACTATTTTTTCTTGCTTTTTGAGGTAGGACTGTAAAGCTATAAACTTCCCTCTCAGGACTGCTTTCATTGTGTCCCATAGGTTTTGTATTGTTGTGTTTTCATTGTCATTATTTTCCAGGATGTTTTTAATTTCCTTGATCTCATTGGTAACCCAATAATGATTAAGCTCCCAAGTGTTTGAGTGTTTTGGATTGTTTTTATTGTAGTTTATTTCTACTGTTATGCCATTGTGGTCTGGGAAAATGCTAGGTATGATTTCAATGTTCTTGAATTTGGGGTGACTTTGCTTGTGACCCAGTGTGTGGTCTATTTTTGAAAATATCCCATGTGCACTTGAGAAGAACGTATATTCCACTGCTTTGAGGTGAAATGTTCTGAAGTTGTCAATTAAGTCCATCTGCTCTAGTGAGTCATTTAGGCTTGCTGTTTCTTTGCTGATATTTTGTCTGGAGGATTTATCCAGTGATGTCAGTGGTGTATTAAAGTCCCCTACTGTGTTTGTATTGTTGTCGATCTCTCCCTTGATATCTTCCAGGAGTTTTTTTATGTATTTGGGTGCTCCTGCATGGGGTGCATATATGTTTATCAGGGTTATATCCTCTTGTTGTATCGATACCTTTAGTATTATGAAGTAGCCTTCCTTATATCTGGTATGGCCTTCACTTTGAGGTCTATTTTGTCCGATATAAGTATTTCTACCCCAGCTTTTTTTTATTTCCATTTGCCTGAAAGATATTTTTCCATCCCTTCACTTTCATTCTGTGTGAGTCTCTTGTTCTGAGTTAGGTTTCTTGAAGACAGCACATACATGGGTCATGTATTTTTATCCATTCAGCCACTTGATGTCTTGATTGGAGCATTTAGTTCATTTACGTTTAAAGTTATTATTGAAAGGTACTTGTTTGTAGCCATTTTTAATTTTTTTGCCTGTTTTCTTTCTTAGCTTTTTATTTCTTCTTTTAATACCAGTCCCTTTAGCATTTCTTGCATTGCTGGTTTGGTAGTGATAAACTCGCTTAACCTTTTTTGTCTGTGAAGCTCCTTATTTCCCCTTCAATTTTGAATAATAGTCTTGCTGGATAGAGTATTCTTGGATTCAATCCCTTGCATCACTTTGTAAATTTCTGTCCATTTTTTTCTGGCCTGATGTGTTTCTGTTTAGAAATCATTTGATTATCTAATGGGCGATCCCTTGTATGTAACTTTCTGTCTGTCTCTTGAAGCCTTTAGGATTCTCTCTTTGTCCTGAACATTTGCCATCGTAATTATGATGTGTCCTGGTGTGGTTCTTTTTGGGTTCATCTTGTTTGGGACTCTCTGCTTTTGTGACTTTTTTCTTCCCCACCTCAGAGAAGTTTTCTGACATTATTTCTTCAAATAGGTTTTCTAAGCCTTGTTCCTCTTCCTGTTGTTCTGGAACCCCTATAATTCGTATGTTGCTTTGTTTCATGTTGTCCTATAGCTCCCTTAGGCTCTCCTCCTGTTTTTTAAATGGTTTTCTCCAATTGCAGTTCAGGTTGGGTGTGTTTTGCTTCCCTGTCTTCTAATTCGCTAATTCGGTCCTCCGCTTCTCCTAGTCTACTGTTGAAACTTTCCATGGTGTTTTTTATTGCAGCTATATCACTCTTCATTTCTTCTCGAGTCTTACATAAGTTGTTGATTTTTTCATCCATTTCTTCTTCATTCTTACATAAGTTGTTGATTTCTTCCTCCATCCGGTTTATGCACGCTAGGACCCTTATTCTGAATTCTTTTTCTGACATGTTGCATGCCTCTTTTTCACTTAGCTGCTTTTCTGTCGAATCCTCCTTTTCTTTCCTTTGGGGGTTTCTTTGTCTACCCATGTTTGATCTCACCGACAGATCTAGATGTTGAGTCGTTCAGGGGCAGCTCCTTGGGTGGCAGTGGCTCCTCGGGCTGCGGTTGCTCCTCAGGCGGTTGCGGTAGCAGCTGCTCCTCAGTTGGCAGCAACTCCTCTGGTGGGTCCTGTTCGCAGCTGTGGTGGCTCCTCTGGCTGTTGGGGGAGGCTTCTCACACAGCTGCTGTTTCTGAGACAGAGGTTGTGCTGATCACGAGGCTGCTGTTCCTTGGAAGGGTGAGGGCTGCATGGAGCTGCTACTCCTTGGACTGGGCCGGACTGCTCACGTTGCTGCTCTTCCTTCGATGGGGGTTGGCTGCACACTGCTGTTGTTCCTCTGATGGGGCGGGCTGCTTGTGAGGCTACTGCTCCTTGGACAGAGGCAGGTTGATTGCAAGGCTGCTGCTCTTCGGACTGGGGTGGGCAGTTCTCACGGCTGCTGCTCTTCGGGCGGGTGTGAGCTGCACGCATGGGTGCTCCTCCTTGGATGAGGACGGGTCACTCAACTGGCTGCTTTTCGACTGACATGTGCAAGCTGTGTGTGGCTCTGTTCCTTAAACTGGTGCTTGCTGCGCAGGGCTGCTGCTCCTTGGACGTGGGCGTTCTGCTTGTGTGGCTGCTGCTCCTTGAACTGGGGTTGGCTGCTGCTGCACCTTGAATGGGGACAGGCTGTTCACAGAACTGCTGCTCCTTTAATATGGGCGAACTTCTCACACAGCTGCTGCTCTTCAGATTGGGGCAGGCTGCTCGTGCGGCTGCTGCTGCTTGGACGAGGGCAGGTTTCTTGTGCAGCTGCTGCTCTTCAGACTGGTGCAGGGTGCGGGCTGTGCACAGCTGCTGCTCCTCAGATGGGGGCGGGCTGCGTGGGGCTGCCGCTCCTCAGAAGTAGGCAGACCGCTTGTGCAGCTGCTGCTCCTCGGATGGGTCGGGCTGCTCTCGTGGTTGCTGCTCCTCGGACAGGGGAGCAGGCCACACACACAGCTGCTACTCCTTGGACAGGGGCAGGCCACATGAGGCTGCTGTTCTTAGGCCTAGGGTGGGCTGCTTGCAGGGCTGATGTTTCTTGGACAGGAGTGGGCTGCTCACATGTCTGCTGCTCACATGTTTGCAGTGTCCTGGACAAGGCTGCGGTGCAGGTGGAGGTGGTTTTGTGGAGGCTGGGGAGCAAAGCAGGGAGAGGCGACCAGGAATACAGCTCTGGGACAGCCTGGTCTCTCAATGCTAAACAGCCATTTTTCCCCAAAAGAGCTAGCCCCTCTGCTTAACATGATTTCAATCTTCTTGAATTTGAAGATAATTTGCCTGTGTCTCAATATGTGGTCCACCTTTGAAAATGCCCAATGTGCACTTGAGAAGAATGTATATTTTGTATCTTTGGGATGAAATGTTCTGAAGATGTCAATTAGTTCTATCTGATCTAGTGAGTCATTTAGGATTCCTGTTTCCTTGCTAATTTTTTGTTTGGAGGATTTATCCAATGGTGTTATTGGGTATTAAAGTTCCCTAGTATGATTGTATTGCTGTTCATCTCTCCTTGATATATTCTAGAATTTTTTTATGTATTTTGGTGCTCCTGTATTGGATGCATATATGTTTACCAAAGTTATATCCTCTGGTTTAAATGCTCCCTTTAGAATTATGAAGTGGATCTCTTGTAGATAGCATATATATGGGTCATATTTTCTCATCCATTCAGCTACTCTATATCTTTTGATTGGAGCTTTTAATGCATTTCTTGCACTGCTGGTTTGGTGGTAATAAACTCTCTTAGCCTTTTTTGTCTGTGAAGCTCCTGATTTCTCCTTTAATTTTGAATGATAGTCTTGCTTAGTATAGTATTCTTAGATTCAGTCCCTTGCTTTGCATCACTTTGTATGTTTTATTCCATTCCCTTCTGACCTGATGTGTTTTTGTTGAGAAATCAGTTCATAGTCAAATGGGAGATGTTGTAGGTAACTTTCTTTCTCTCTCTGGCAGCTTTTAAGAGTCTTACTTTGTCATTGATATTTGCCAATTTAATTGCCAATTTAACTACAGTGTATCTTGGAGTCCGACTTTTTGGGTTCATCTTGTTTGGGACTCTCTGTGCTTCTTGGACTTGTGTGAGATTTTTCTCCCCTAAGTCAGGGAAGTTTTATGTCATTAACTCTTCAAACAGGTTTACTATACCTTGCTCATCTTCCTCTCCTTCTGGCACCCCTATTATGAGGATGTTGTTTCATTTCGTGTTGTCCCAAAGCTCCCTTAGACTCTCCTCCTGCTTTTTAAGTTGTTTTTTTTTTCAAGTTGCTACTCTTGTCTTTTTTTACCTTTTCTTCTGACTCACATATTTGGTCCTCAGCTTCTTCTAGTCTACTGTTGAAACCTTCCATGTTTATCCTTATTGCAGCTATGTCATTCTTCATTTCCTCTTGATTCTTACACATGGTGAATTTGTCTTCCAGCTTTTTCAGCATCTTTATAACCATTGCTCTTAATTCTTTCTCTGATAAGTTGCTTGCCACCATTTTATTTATTTCCTTTTCTGGTGATCCCTCCTTTTCTTTCATATGGGTTTTTTTTTTATTTGTCTTTACAGTTTTGCTCTTCCTTTATACTTGTTTCTATGTATTAGATCAAACTGCTATGCCACCCAGATTTTTTGAGTTTGTCTTATATAGTAGATGTTTTGTGGGACCCAGTGGTGCAATATCTCAGGTTTTCTCAGCTGAGTTTAGTGAGTGAAATTAACTAAACAATTGGGAGAAAAAGAGAGCAAGAGAAGAGAGGAAAAACAAAAGCATAAGAAAGTTATCTAGTGAAGAGAAAAGAGAAGGGTGCATGAACTTTGAGCAGGTGAGAGGAAATTAGATATATGAGTAAGCCAACAGAGACTATAATAATAATAATAACACATCAATAAAGCAGATAAAGGAGACCAATTGTTAACAAGGAGTAAAAAGAATGAGAAGAGAAAAACTAAAGCAGGGACAGGAGAAGAGAAAATAGGATGAAAAAGGGAGAAGTGAGGAAGTAAAAGGTGAGAAAAATAAAAAAAACAATAAAAAGTTAAAATAGAATAAAGAAAAATAATACTAAAAAATAAAGAAAACAAAAATTTTTTTAAAAAATTAAAAAGTGAAGTGTCGTCGCTTCAGCCAAGTTTTAATGCCCCATGAGGGTTGGTTTAAGACCCCACTTTTCCGTTCTTTCTGCCACTTCTGAGTTTCCTGTTAGGTGGTCAACACCGTGTTGATGTTCCAAACGATCCACTGCTCTTCTGTGTCTGTCTCCACAGGCCTTGACTTCAAGCAGGCAGGACCAATCTGCCCACTTTGCCTGTCTGCCTGCTAATCTTAATCACTCAAGTGTCTGTTTCTGACAGGGTTTTAGGTGGGGGTGTTGATGTATCATTTTCTGGAAATGAAAGGCCCCCCTTCAACCCAGTCCCTGAAGGCTTTTGGGGGCTCTTCAAAGTCTTTGTTTTCTTTGTAAAGCTCAAGGTGTAAGCTGGGTGTGGCAGTATTAGCTTCCTTGAGGCTGCTGGTAGGGGCTGGCTCTTCAGGTGATAATGGCCACTTTGGTTTAGAGTGTCACTAATGTCTCTCTGCTAGATTCCCGACCACTTCTCCCTGCCCTGCTCTCCTCCATAGCCTCTCTGCATCGCAGAGATCTGCACCGCAAATCTGCACCACAGCCTCAGGTGAGTGCTTGTAATTGAAAGGTCCTCTGAAATGGGTTAGATAAATAAAAGTAAAGACAAAAGAAAGGCAAAACAACCACAAGACCATGAGTTTCTCTCCCCACTGGCACCATGCTGCTTGGGAAGCTCTTCATGTTGCCTTTCTGAGCATAGCCCCTCATGACTGTGGACTTATATCTAGATTCCCCAGCTGCCTGTGGCCCTGTGGACTTCCTTTGTACAGTTGGATGTTACGCCTGCCCCCAAGGGACACGGACTTGGTGCAGTGCAGCTTTTTCCTGACACTCAGCCCGGTGGTCATGCGTCTCTCTCCAGCCCAGATCCCCAATCCTACCATTCTCCAGGCATCCTCTGCCCTTCCCAGTGGCAAATTGTCTCACCATCTGTGTCCAATTGGCCAATTCTGGGTGGATGTTATTTGATTTAGTTGCTCCCTCTATCTTCTTTGGGACAAGGTGCAGAACACATCTGCCTATTTGGCCGCCATTTTTTCTCTCTTCTTTTATTCTTCTGGCTTCTCAGATTTCATGAAGCAGTGAGAAATACCCTGTATTTCTTGTGGAGGTGGGCATCTTCTCTATGATCAGGTCTCAGATATAGATATAGTGTTCTCTATAATCCCACACTCAATGCTGCAACTTCTGCTATGCACTGTGAGTTTAGGGAGGGTGAGGAGAGGAGGGTAATGGGAGGCAGCTAGGCTCAGTGGTTTTGTTTTCTGCCTGGAAATGACAGCTGCTAGAAAACAGCTGCCACACCTCTGTGTTTTATGTCTGCCCATTACAGAGTTCAGCCA